AATTTTCATTATAGATTATGGTACCTGTAGTCAAAGACAGAAAATCCTGGAGAATTTCAGGAACTGATCTCAATTTCCAGAGACTGAGCCCTTATTATTCTTCTTTATTGTTGTACAGTTACAGTTGTCCCGTCTTTTTCCCCATTGCTCTCCCCCACCCTGCCTCGCCCCTCCCCAGCCCACAGTCAGTCCCCCTATTGTTCCTGCCCATGAGTCCTCTATTCATGTTCCATGGCCTGCCCTTTCCCCTCCTTTCCCCTGGTATCCCCTACTCCTTTCCCTCTGGTCACTCAGTTTGTTCTTTGTTCCCAAGTCACTGAGTCTATTTTGCTCATTTTTTAATATATTTGTGTTATTAACTCTTGCAGGAAAAAGATCAAGAGCCCCCAATAACATTTTTTCACACTTAAGTGTATATTTTTGTTTTGTTTAGTTTTGTATTATGATTAACCAAATTTTAAAATTAAGTAAACATAACATGTTACACATAATCTTCAATATATTTGATTAATGAATAATGCTTTAGAAGAGCTAATTAACTAGTTGAGAACTGCAGACAATGATAGTTGCAAGTTTTGGTAAGTCAAAATCTCTTTCCAGGGCTAGAATTGCATATCATTGTGCTTATTTGTGACTAAACAAATAGAAATAACTCATGAAGCCATATTTCTTCAGAGATATGACAGAGCCTGAAATCTTTTTTACAGAATGAATGTATCTAAGGAAGTAAAGTGTAAAATTCTCCTTTCTAGGTTATACATCTTTGATGAAGTTATGTAAGAGTTACAATTCACTAATAATGCAGAGTCCAATGTAATTTTAATTTTATGCCATATTATGAAAGAATAAAATATAATTCCTAAAATTAAGAACTTAATATTATCAGGTCAAACAGAAAAAAGTTATCTGAACAAGAAAAACAAAAAATATATTGCAATCCCTGTAGGAGAGTGATTTGTATATCTGTTCCTTTAAACTTAAGGTATAGTGTTCAATTTTATCTCATTCAGAATTCATCTAAAAACAAAATGCATGTTAAATGTGCTAAATGACATTTTGATAATAATGTTACATCTTAATAAATGTAAATTCAATATTATTTGACAGTGATTATAAAGAAGAATGTTCTAAAATAGTCTTTCTCATCTATACATTTCCTAAGTAACAGTGTTATTCAGATGTTTTGAATTTTTATTAGCATGCACCAATAACTTTACATTAGAATTACAAGAATGTCCTTATGAAAATTAGTAATCTATCACTGTGCTATCATCTATTCTTTAAAAATTAATTTTAATGAGAACACTAATATATTACACTGTTATATCACACTAATCTACATACTACAAAGAAATAATTTCACTCAGATATAAGTTTCTGACTAGAATTATTGATTTCTATAAGTTTCTCATGAAAGTGGCCTTGCTAATATCAGTAAATGTTTTGTGAATTACTCATATTTCTTCAATAGGGCAAGGATTGATCAACCAGATAAGTTGAACAGATAAAAGAAAAATATCTATATCTTAAAGATTATAGTTTAATTTGTTGTGTTCTCCCATATCTATATTTATTAGAGAAAATAGAAATTCCAAATGTTCTCAGTATTTTTCTCAATTTAAAAAGTTATATTAAGATATATTTTACATACCTATTAAATTTTTAATTGTTTTATATTTTCCCGATAAATCAATACCTTTTACTAAACATGACCAAGGGTAGGGAGAGCTCAAAGATTGCTCTAGGTATAGTTTTAGTGAACTAAAATAGCTTCTTTACAACTAATTCAACTATTGTCTTTGCTTTTGTTGTTGTATTGTTTACTTTTTAGCTCATAATCATAAACTTAACTCTGCAGTCTAGCTAGACTTGGAAGGGGTAAGGAAAGATTATAGAGTATCCCAAGCAGATGTGGGTAAAGGGGTGCTCTTGTGAGCTACAGAAGGGATGGTCTGGAGGGTAAGATAAAAACACAAGTCAAATTTATTAGACTTGTCCACAGTCAGTGATCTTGCTGGACCCATTCCTAGACCCATAGCTACTCATGGCTGTCACAACGTCCATGCCATCTTTCACTGGCCAAAGACCCCATGCTTGCCATCCAATCATTCAGTTTTGGCAGTGCAGATGAAAACTTGGGAACTGTTTGTATCGGTTCCAACATTTGCCAAGGACAAGATGCCAGGACATATATGCTTCAGGATGAAAATCTCATCATCAAATATCTCCTCACAGATGGACTTGCCACCTGCGCCATTGTGGTATGTCAAGTTACCATCCTGGCAGGTAACTCCCAGAATAATTCTGGGACAGCAGAAACCATGATAACCAAATCCTTTCTCCCCAGTGCTCAGAGCAGGAAAGTTTTCTGCTCTCTGGAATTTGTCTGCAAACAGCTCAAAGAAAAAGCAGCCCAAGAGCTCTTTTCTTTTTTAAAAATAGTTTTCATACATGAAACATATCAGTGGGTCTTTGAGATTTCTATAATACACTAGTTTGATTTATCTTTACCAAGCACTTCCTCAAACCAAGACAATATGATTAAGACACTCCTGGTACACCGATACATTGTATATACAAAACAAACAAGCAAACAAAAACCTCCAGTTGGTACAGCTACTATGGAAAGCAATACGGAATTTCCTCAGAAAACTAAAAGTAAAACTGCCTTTTGACCTGAAATTCTACTGCTGGGATTATAACTTAAGAATCCTCAAACACCAATTCAAAGGAACCTATGTGGCCCAATCTTCATAGCAGCACAATTTACAATAGTAAATTCCTGGAAACAACTTAAGTGCCTATCAGTAAATGGGTGGATTAAAAAACTGTGGTACATTTACACAATGCAATTCTATGCAGCAGAGAGAAAGACAGAGCTCCTACCCTTTACAACGGCATAGATGCATCTGGAGAGCACTATGCTAAATGAAATAAGCCAGGAGGTAAAAGACAAATACCATGTGATCTCACCTATAAGTGGAACTTAAACAAGAAAACAAATAAGCAAGCAAAACAGAACCACAGACATGGAAATAAAACACAAAGTGACAATGACCAGAAGGGAGGGGGGAAAGGGATAACGGGGAAAGAAGGGGAAGGGTTGTAAGGAACATGTATAAAGGACCCATGGACCAAGATAAGGAGGGAGGGGGAGGATTGAATGTAGGAGGTGGAGGAGGAGGAGGGGAGGGGAGAGTAATAGGGGGAAATGCAGGCAGCTGTAATTGAACAACAATAAAAAAATTAAAAAAATAAAATCAATAAACATATCCTTGGGTAAGGATTAAACATTTTTTTAAACCCTCCAGTTTAAGGTTTTACATGAAGTAAAAGTCAAAATCATTTATTTTAAAATTTGGGAATTATGAGTTTATAATGTAACCATTATTACTGAAAAATATCTGTGATACACTCCAAAGTCCTTATATATCCTCCACAAGTCCTACTCAAATCTCACTACCCTGGATAACTTGTTCGTTTAATGAGGGCATCACATTTAATAATGTAAGATGCTCAGCTCTAAAAGTTATTTCCTTCTGTTTATAAATCTTGCTATCCCATCATTTTTACCCCTGTAGAATTCATCTGTTCAGCAAATAACTACTCTGGGCCCCAAAAGTGCAGGCACTGTTGCTGTATGGGCTTCCATGGACAAAGCACAAACATCTCTGCCCTCATCCAGGAAATGTAAAACAGTAGAAGATGGCACAAATATATGAGAACCTCACTCCTTTCAAAAAACACTGAAAAAGGCATCTGCTCCAGCCTTTTTTAAATAAAAATATAAATTAATGGGAGTCTGGAAGCCTCACAAATCACTTCTTCCACCCCACATAAATGTTTAAGAGTGTGCCTGATTTTTCAAATTTGTTGTAAGACATCAGCTAGCCATCTTTCCCATATAGATTCTAGCTCAGCTTTAAACTAAATGCAGGTATTTCATTAAAAAGTAAATTACATTTACTTAATAATTTAGTAGAACTTAGATTTTCTAAATATAACCCCCTCATTTTACTAATTAAAATAATATCCAGAGGCCATGAATTTCAAGTGACATACCCAAGATCCTGGTAAGTGACAAGGCTGAATCTAGAATGTCAGTATGCAGAACACATGCTGATACTTTCTAATAGTTCATTTTCAGTCCCTTTTCTAAAATACAAGTTTGCTTACATAACTTTGCACAAAATGAGTGCAACCATGCTTGAAAAATTAGCAAAGTTGCTCATCAAAAATTCTAAACAGAATTTAGATGATACAAAAACTCATGAAGTTGTTGGGCTCATCATGTAATTTTTCCTGAGGGAAACAACCATAGCTGATCTAACTACAAGAATGCCACTCTTTTGAGCACTCCAGCAACCCAAAACTAGGGCAATAAACCCACGCCGTACGAGGAATATAAGTTTAACACACATTAAAATGATGTGCTCCTGAAGGTATGATTTTGAAAACACAATCATTTTTATACATTTATATTAAAATTAATAAAAAACTTCTATGTCAAATATTCTCGCTATGTTAGAATAGCAGATTATAGCAGAAATAATCTGCTATATGTATCTTCTCTTACATAAAACAAAGTAAATATTCAACTAAACCATTTGTGGCTCATTATTTTAATTAACTTTCTAAGTCGAAGACTCTTCAGATAAATCACAAATCTGAAAAAAAATGTTGCAAAAGCTTCATTTCATCTATAGGACATTTTAAATGTCAGTTGGAGAAGGTTCTTTAAGGAGATCTCATGAAATTTTTCAACACTGATTCAGTAAAAATGTCTACTGACCATTTTGGTAGAAATAAAATTTTCTTTCATTGCTTACACATTTAGATGCAGGTATCTAAATTGTTTACCTGACTTTCTACTGCCACAGGACGTAGCAAGACGCATGTGTTAAAAACAAACTCCGTGATGGCACACGGAAGCACTGCTTGCCCCTTCTCACAGCAAAGAAGATTAATGAGCAAAGAACAGGTGGCTGACATGAACGTACCCATGGGGGTGCCAACGCCATAACCTTTGGAGTCTATAAGGCCACCGATCTGTGTCAGGTTGCAGTTCCGCTGAGTAACAAATTCAATGGTTGTTGACTCCATTAGGAAAGCATAATCGGAGGTGAGGACCCGCTGGATTCCTTCTTCGTTGCTTTTGACGAGCACTGACTGTCTCCTGCTGCTCATAAAGGCCCACATTTTGTCATACGTGGAGATTTTTGATTTCTGGGAAAAAATAAAATACATAAGGTAATCTTTAGTTTCCACATGATCTACAATAGTAAGATGAAATTGACTGTGTTTAGTTACCCATACTACTTTAACTAAATTATTAATAGTAACATCTAAAGAGAAAATCAAAATCTGTTTTAAAGAGTTTCTCATAGAAATCCCTTATATGTGAGTGTTTCTAGTTATAGTGTAGGTTTAGCTAACAAATATATAAAAAGTGTCTTGATGTTCAAAAATGCATGAGTAGTAAGTCATAGAAGGTAATAAAAAGGAAAACAAACAAGATTGATAAGGAGACTCTTTTGTGCTTATACCTCACATGAGTACTTGATGTGTATAATTTCATCTCTCAACATTACAGTAATGTTAACTTGATAGGGATAGATGCTGGACACCAATTGACCCTGTTAAACTTCAAGAGGTTATTATTCCCATTTTAGTTGACTATAAGCCTGATGTCATGGTAATCCTCAAGGACACACCAAGGTTGAAGAGATGAAAGAAATTCATTACAAATAAGGATGTTACAAATAAGAATAATTACATTTTCACTGAGACACAGCCAGCTTCCTGACATCAGGAAATCTATCATTCAGGCCTACCATGTAACGAAAGACTTCTGGACCAATAAAATTGAACAGTTTTTATATCCAACTGAAAATTCTCAGTGGGGCTTTACTAGGCTTTCATTACAAAGGGAAAGAAATGGGTTTGATTCAGAAGGCACTGGTACAATATAAACATGAAAAAAGGTTAGTAGTATCTGCTTATGGAAATCTCATTTGTGAAACCCTTACTATAGTTTAATTCTTATATAAATACAAAATATTGCTGAAGCTAGAAGTACAAGAAGGATATTCATCATACTGATTACAGTTTTATAAAAAGCCAAAACAAACAAACTGTTTCCAAACAAATAAAAATGCAATCTTTTCACAGCTTAAAGATGCTTTAGTCCTATATTTGCCAGGTCATAAATGTGATAGTACCACAACTTCTACTAAAAGGTAGGTGTAAACAATATTTAGAAATATCCTTGTACTGTTTCAAAGAAAAATAAGAAGGGAAACCCTAAATTCACCAGGGGAAAAATAAAGGTATGTGGGTGCTATATAAAAACAAGTGCAGGGCTAAGCACTAGGGCTCAGAGCAGGGAGACGTGCAAATCTTTGCTCTCCAGTGAAGCTAAAACACACTAAAGGCCATGGGCTCCAAGCTTAAAAGAAGGCAGCTAAAACACCTTGCAGAAGATGATCAGGATTACAAAGGTGGGCTGCTGTTGTGACAGGTCAATTGTTTTAAAGTAAAATACTACAATGCTGGTAATAAATAAGAAAACAAAAGGGATATGCATATTTATAATGAAATTCTGTTTGGAATAATTAAGAACAATAGCGAGATTTTCATAGACTCATTGGGTTATCCAAATCAGTAACATAATAAGGATAGTTAGAGCAAGTTCACATCCTTTCAAAGGTAAGAGTTTGCTCCTAATATTTTGGAATAGGTGAGGACTAAGTAACAATAAAACCAAAATTATATTTTACCTGCAGATTAAAATAATTTTATATACAAATTAAAATTGCACAGTCTTTAGTGAAACTGGTCACTGATAATACACAAACACAATTCAATAAAAGATGGCACTACAAGTTTATCTGATCAAAACTGCATAGTTATCACTTAAAAGTTTTAAATGTAGTATCTTTTGAGGAAAATGACAATGCAATATCACAATATGTGTGGCCAAAGCCAAGCAGAGAGTAGGAAAATGAACAGAAAGTTGTTTTTTTTTTTTTTACCCTTATTGGCCACAGATTGCCTAAATTCTCTAATTTGCTTCAGGTGCAAGAACATTAGCAATCAATGTCTTCCATTTAAATTTGACCAGCTCAATTTTTGCTTTGACAGGGCCAAGCTGCTCTTTTATTTAGAATATGTTTCTTGACTTACTTTGATATAGTGTTTGACACATGCTTGGAACAATTCTAGATATTGACCAGAGTCCAGGTATTGCAAATGGTTAATATACAAGGACATCATGGATATTTGCCTTCATCACAGGAGCAGTGGGAAGCTGAAGCAGGTATGAAGCAGATTTGAGGATGCAATCACATTGCACTGGGAGGCCACTAAGGCTGCTATGTGAAGAATGGATCAGCTGTGGCAATGGCAGATACAAGAAGGTAATTTGAAGTGTATAGCAGCAGTCTAGGTAAGAAACAGTACATCTACTGGGAAAGCGGTGTTGGAGATAGAAATATCTAAGAATGCAAGGTGTGTGTGTGCGTGTAATGAATGTTATTTGGTCATTATTGGAATATGGGAAGTAAAGTAGAGATTTATGTTAATTCTCTGCTTTCTGATTAAATTTGAGAGTCACAAAGAAAGAGAACAAACAGACCAATTAAATATTTGGAAGGAAAGATTATATCTACTAAATTAGCAACACCTAAGGAACATCTAAATGGACCTATCATGTAAGTTTGGAGTTCAGTGGAAAATTCAAGACTAAAAATATAGATTTTAAAGCTATCCCAGATATATAAGATTAAGGAAGAAAATCTGAAAATTGTGGTGCTTCAGAAATCAAGGCAAGAGAATATTCAGTGAGGAGGTCAGCATCTGTAGTAATTCGCCAAAAAGAAAAAAAGTGCATACAATAAGTGAATGATGTCTTTGGATTTAGCAACAGAGAATCCCTTGGTTCTTTTAGCAAAGGCTAATTTAATGGAGTGAAGGACTTAGCAGTAATACTGAAATAGATTAAGAAAGGGAAAAGTAAAATGGAATCAGGATATGCCCCTCCCACAAAAAATAATCAGAGAGTTAGGTCACTGAAGAAGAGGAGATACAGGGAAACACATTGGCTTAAGTAGTATTTTCAAGGATTGAAGCAATTTGAGCATTTTTAAATGCCAGTGGGGAGAGTTTTCCAAAAAATAAAAAATAAAAAGAGAGATTTAGTATGCCAGAGGAAAAAAGAACAATCAATAAAGTCTCCAATAAGGTGATCCCAAGTACAATAAAAAAAGGATTTATCTTAAATAAGTCCCTTTAACATTTAATAAAATAATCATAAAAAAGGATTTAAAATACAGCAATTGGATTGATCTCTGACTTCAAACTATTTGTATTGAACACATATAGAATTATATTTTAAAATCTATTGTGTAAGGAATAAGGGCATAAGAATCCTCAACTACTTTTATTTTTAATAAAATAGGAAATTATTTAATGTTTTTAAAGTAAAATAGACTGTAGGATCTCTAAGGTTAAAACTGATGGAACTGCACAAGTTAAAGATTTGGAGTCTAAATGCACTTAATGTCAAGAAGGATGTAAACAAAAATACAATTAATTATATATGAGTATGTTGAATATGAAAATTATATGTAAACCTAGAAAGAAGGACATATCGAGTCACGATATGAATTAAAGTTTGTAGGGGAACATAGGACATATTGAGAGAGCCACCTGTTGTCTGTTATGCTCAATGTACTATGGTTCGTGTCATCCAGTGAAACAGCCACCGATCATTGTTAAGGAGTGTGATAAAATCAACAGTGACTAAGCTTCTGAGCGAAATCTTGGAGTCTTTAAAGGTCCTCTGATCACAGTGATAGAGAATTGAGGACTGATATAGCAGAACACCAGGAACGACTCAGAATTTGGAACGCACCTTGGCCCTATGCGTCGCTGATGCCAAACTGACTTAAAAAAAAAGTTTCCAGAAGAAATGTACTGCTTAAAAGATATATGAAAAATCAAAGTCAGGTAATAAGCTAGATGTGAAATAATATAATTCTCTGTAAGGATATAATTGAGATAATGACAAATTACAGCCTAACAGAGAAGGTGCTCAAATAGAGTGTAGCCAAGTAAAAGAAATATTAAATTAGTGGGGGAACACTGGAAAGAACATCTTGTTTTACTCCTTAATTTCACAGATGAGAAAACTAAGGCTACTCAATAAGAAAAAAATTATTACCGGTGAAGGTCAATTTGTAAAAGAGAAAAATGGTGATAGGATTTATGACACCATGATTTTATGGAAGGATTTTACTAATATAACAAGATAACTTATTTGGCAAAAATATAAAGCATTTGTAAGTATTATTCTTACAGTTATGCTGTACATAGTAATTGAAATAACGTAAAGCAAAAAAATTAAATGACATTTTAGAGATATTTCTTAAAATGGGTATGAAAATCAAAACACTTAAGAGGAAAAGCATATTTAAAATTTTCTGAATGAAGTCATCTTATTTTATCATGCAACTTAATCCTGCCACACACAGTACTAAAATTATTTTCTTCCTCCTTTTTCTTTCCTTCTTTTTTTATGTTTCACATTAAAGAAAATCTTCTTTCTGTTTAACATCAAATGGATTTAGAATGTCAATGTTTAGCAGTGTTAATCAAAATGCTGAGGCTTGTAAGCTGATTTGATTTTGCTACATCAGCACAAAATAAATAAAAGCAGTTCTTAAGGCAATGTCCTTTTATAATAGTGGTTTTCCTGGACGAGGGAACATCAATGAAAAAATTTTAAAAGAAGATTCTTCTCAAGAATAAACTTACAAAGAATAAGAAACATTTTTTTAAAACTCAGAGATGACAAATGATTTTGTATTTTATAAAAAACATTCAGTGTAAATACCTAAATATTTAAAACATACAATTAATGATTTAAACTTAAGGATATACTATTAGCTTTAGTTTCTGGCTGAACTCTAAATTAATTTTACAACCTGAAATTATTTGGCTCTTTGCAGATCTCAAATAAGTAATGGTTTTAGGCAATATTTATTCCCAGACATTTTAGAGATTTTTCAGAACTTATAAGATATTACTTTAAGGATAATGTTTCAAAATTGTGTTTCTATCCCACCTGAAAAGTTATGAGAGCAAACGAAGTAAGGGTTACTATCATTCTGCTTGTATGGATCCACTTTTCTCCCATCTGGAACAACACATTTTATAAATACAAA